TTCTCAACGGAGACGCATCAGCCTGGCGCGCACCTATCCATTCGATTACCCCCGAGTGTGCGCGCAAGGCCCTCGAGCTTACATGTTAGCAAGAAGGTTCCAGCACGCGGGGGCGGCCACTTGGCCTGCAGACGGCCAAGAGCGAATAACAAAAACTATCCTGGCGAGGGACCCAACCATGTGCAGTTGTGAGTGACGCAGTTGTGGGTATCGCCCTCGGTGAACCTCTCTGGGGTCACGACGCGTGTGACGGGTGTGTCGAACTTGGCACGGGTACGCCATGCGGACGCTGCCACCAGAGCCGTCGGTGGAGCACCCTATGGGGCCGCGGAACGTGCAAGGGGTGCGCCGAAATGGGTGGTGGAACTGCATGCGGACCCTGCCACTGGGGCCTTCGGCGGAACACCCTATAGGGCCACGAAACGTGTGAGGGGTTTGCCGAAATGGGGGGGTGGAACCGCATGCGAACGCAGACTGTGGCCTTCGGTGGAGCACCCTATGGGGCCGCGAAACGTGTGAGGGGTGTGCCGAAATGGTGGTGGAATCGCATGCGGGCGCTGCCGCTGGGGCCTTCGGTGGAGCACCCTATGGGGCAACGAAACGTTCGAGGGGGTGCGCCAAAATTGAGGTGGAACTGCATGCGGACCCTGCCACTGGGGCCTTCGGCGGAGCACCCTATCGGGTCACGAAACGTGTGAGAGGTGCGCCACAATTGAGGTGGAACTGCATGCGGACCCTGCCACTGGGGCGTTCGGCGGCGCACCCTGTGGGGCCACGAAACGTGTGAGAGGTGCGCCGAAATGGAAGTGGAACTGCATGCGGACCCTGCCACTGGGGCCTTGGGTGGAGCACCCTATGGGGCCGCGAAACGTGTGAGGGGTGTGCCGAACTGGAAGTGGAACTGCATGCGGACCCTGCCACTGAGGGCCTTCGGGCCATATAGGGCCACGAAACATGTGAGGGGTGCGCCGAAATGGGGGTGGAACTGCATGCGGACCCTGCCACAGGGGGCCTTCGGTGGAGCTCCCTATGGGGCCACGGAACGTGTGAGGGGTGTGCCGAAATGGGGGTGGAACTGCATGCGGACCCTGCTACTGAGGCCTTCGGCGGAGCACCCTATGGGGCCACGAAACGTATGAGGGGTGTGCTGTGTTGGGGGTGGAACTGCATGCGGACCCTACCACTGGGGCCTTGGGTGGAGCACCCTATGGGGCCGCGAAACGTGTGAGGGGTGTGCCGAACTGGAAGTGGAACTGCATGCGGACCCTGCCACTGGGGCCTTCGGTGGAGCACCCCATGGGCCACGAAACGTGTGAGGGGTGCGCCGAAATGGAGGTGGAACTGCATGCGGGCCCTGCCACTGGGGCCTTCGGCGGAGCACCCTATAGGGGCCACGAAACATGTGAGGGGTGCGCCGAAATGGAGGTGGAACTGCATGCGGACCCTGCCACTGGGGCCTTCGGTGGAGCACCCCATGGGCCACGAAACGTGTGAGGTGCGCCGAAATGGAGGTGGAACTGCATGCGGACCCTGCCACTGGGGCCTTCGGTGGAGCACCCTATGGGGGCCACGAAACGTGTGAGGGGTGCGCCAAAATGGAGGTGGAACTGCATGCGGACCCTGCCACTGGGGCCTTCGGCGGCGCACCCTATGGGGCCACGAAACGCTGTACTAGGTGGGTGAAACGCAAGGAGGAGGGAGAAGGGGGAGGAGGGCGGGGGCAGCGGGAGGAAGGTGGGAACGCGGGGCGCTGTCTCTTCAAAACGAGGACCCAACACCACAGGATGGTTGGGAACAAGTGCATGGCTTGGTCTTGGAGCCGCTAGCGGTTGAAGTTCGCTCCCAACTGCTTGCAACTGACGAGCGGCTCCTAGCAACTCACAGCGAGGTGGCACGGCCAGCCACGCGAATCTGGGTGGGCGTGTGGAACCCGAGTCCCAATTGTGTGGAGGCTGACGCACTAGCGGCAACCTCAACTTGTTTTTCTCATCATCGCGCACGTGCTCCCGATCCTGCACACTGTATGAAGAAGAGGGCGGGCCTTGGCCCGAACTGCTGGCTACGTCTAATGAGACTGCGCTGGCATGTCTGCAACGCAGGGCTTCCTAGGCACGCTGGGGCCTAGTCCTGGCTCGGCACTCGGCCGTCGAGCCACAAGACTTCGCCGACCCCTCGGCGTTGCTCGGCGTGTGGGACAGGTGCCCCTCCCCAAGCCCCTCTCCTGGGAGCGCAGTTCGGCCGGCTTGGAGACACCGCCAGCGGGGCCCACGGACTCATCTGGCCCTGCAACATTCTGAAGGTGCCCTGCGCCTTCAGGCCACTGCCACTGCTCCTCCTCCTCCTCCTCCTCCTCCTCCTCCTCCTCCTCCTCCTCCCTCCTCCTCCTCCTCCTCCTCCTCCTCCTCCTCCTCCTCCTCCTCCTCCTCCTCCTCCTCCTCCTCCTCCTCCCTCCTCCTCCTCCCTCCTCCTCCTCCTCCTCCTCCTCCTCCTCCTCCTCTTTTTCTCCTTCTCCTTCTCCTCCTCCTCCTCCTCGAGCCTTACGCTTCCCCCCCGAAACTGACCAGCGGCTCCTAGCAACTCACAGCAAGGTGGCACGGCCAGCCACGCGAATCTGGGTGGGCGTGTGGAACCCGAGTCCCAATTGTGTGGAGGCTGACGCACTAGCGGCAACCTCAACTTGTTGTTCTCATCATCGCGCACGTGCTCCCGATCCTGTACACTGTATCAAGAAGAGGGGGGGCCTTGGCCCGAACTGCTGGCTACGAATAAAATTGTGGTGGGATGTCTGCAACGCATGGCTTCCTAGGCACGCTGGGGCCTCGCGAGCAACAAGGTTACCTCGAGCTTACATGTTAGCAAGAAGGTTCCAGCACGCGGGGGGGGGGGGGCACTTGGCCTGCAGACGGCCAAGAGCGAACAACAAAAACCGCTAGCGGTTGAAGTTCGCTCCCAACTGCTTGCAACTGACCAGCGGCTCCTAGCAACTCACAGCAAGGTGGCACGGCCAGCCACGCGAATCTGGGTGGGCGTGTGGAACCCGAGTCCCAATTGTGTGGAGGCTGACGCACTAGCGGCAACCTCAACTTGTTTTTCTCATCATCGCGCACGTGCTCCCGATCCTGCACACTGTATGAAGAAGAGGGCGGGCCTTGGCCCGAACTGCTGGCTACGTCTAAAAAAACTGTGCTGGTATGTCTGCAAAGCAGGGCTTCCTAGGCACGCTGGGGCCTAGTCCTGGCTCGGCACTCGGCCGTCGAGCCACAAGACTTCGCCGACCCCTCGGCGTTGCTCGGCGTGTGGGACAGGTGCCCCTCCCCAAGCCCCTCTCCTGGGAGCGCAGTTCGGCCGGCTTGGAGACACCGCCGGGGGGCCCACGGACTCATCTGGCCCTGCAACATTCTGAAGGTGCCCTGCGCCTTCAGGCCACTGCTCACTCACACTCCTCCTCCTCCTCCTCCTCCTCTTCTTTTTCTCCTCCTCCTCCTCCTCGAGCCTTACGCTTCCCCGAAACTGACCAGCGGCTCCTAGCAACTCACAGCAAGGTGGCACGGCCAGCCACGCGAATCTGGGTGGGCGTGTGGAACCCGAGTCCCAATTGTGTGGAGGCTGACGCACTAGCGGCAACCTCAACTTGTTTTTCTCATCATCGCGCACGTGCTCCCGATCCTGTACACTGTATGAAGAAGAGGGCGGGCCTTGGCCCGAACTGCTGGCTACGTCTAAAAAAACTGTGCTGGTATGTCTGCAAAGCAGGGCTTCCTAGGCACGCTGGGGCCTAGTCCTGGCTCGGCACTCGGCCGTCGAGCCACAAGACTTCGCCGACCCCTCGGCGTTGCTCGGCGTGTGGGACAGGTGCCTCTCCCCAAGCCCCTCTCCTGGGAGCGCAGTTCGGCCGGCTTGGAGACACCGCCGGGGGGGGCCCACGGACTCATCTGGCCCTGCAACATTCTGAAGGTGCCCTGCGCCTTCAGGCCACTGCTCACTCACACTCCTCCTCCTCCTCCTCCTCCTCCTCTTCTTTTTCTCCTCCTCCTCCTCCTCCTCCTCGAGCCTTACGCTTCCCCGAAACTGACCAGCGGCTCCTAGCAACTCACAGCAAGGTGGCACGGCCAGCCACGCGAATCTGGGTGGGCGTGTGGAACCCGAGTCCCAATTGTGTGGAGGCTGACGCACTAGCGGCAACCTCAAATTGTTTTTCTCATCATCGCGCACGTGCTCCCAATCCTGTACACTGTATGAACTGGAACGCCAAGAGCCACGCGAATCTGGGTGGGCGTGTGGAACCAAAACGGCAAAGAGCGCCAAAAAACAAAGAGGGCCAAAAAAGGTGGCCAGACGGCAAAGAGCGCCGAAAAACAAGTGCATGGCTTGGCCTTGGACCTGCAAACGGTTGCATTGGCAGTCCTGAAGTTCGCTCCCAACTGCTTGCAACCTTCGGGGAGACGTACATTGACACAGACCAGCGGCTCCTAGCACCCCCTAGCCGGGTGGTACGACCGGCCACGCGACCTCAGGGCGGCACCGACTGCTGCGGAGGGCGACCGCGGCGGCGCAGCCGGCGGCGGGGCCAGAGGCGTGACCACCGGCACGAGCGCCCTGCGGCGCAATTCCCTTGAGATGGCGCCCGCCCAGCTCCTGGGGCCGCCCTCGGCGCCTCCGCCCTCGGCGGTTCCTGCTGCTGGGGGCTCGGCCGCCGCTGGGCCCTCGCCTTCGGCGCCTTCCGCTGCCGGCGGCGCGGCCGCCGCGGGCCCGAGGCAGCCGCCTTCGTTGACGCGTGGGCAACGCTGCCGCACGCCCATTTCCCAAGGCGAGCACGCCAACCGCCGCGCGGCGGCAGCCTTCAGCTCCCAGTACGCCTCGGACCGGAGGCGCCTCGACGGGGGCGCTGGCATCGCAGACCCCCTCCCGGGACGCTCGCCCCTGACGAGCACGGTCTCGAAGGGCGCCGTCTTGAGCGCCGGCTCGTCGCCGCCCCTCGAAAGCACAGCGACGCCCCAGTCCTCCTGGTGCGCATCGGCGTCCTGGTCGTCGTCGAGCGTGAGCAGGTCTGCCGTGGGGCATCGCGTGGGGGCCGAGCTGGGCACGCGCGGTCCGAAGCACTCCACCTTGCCCGTCCCCTGTACGGCGAGGGGCCCCTCCATGTCCTGAAGCGTCGCGCGCGGGCTGAGCATGACTGGCGGGGTGCCTTCCGGTAGGCTGGCGACCACCCGCTGCAAATTTCGAGGCCCCACTTGAGCCAAAATGGCTACGGACAGCATTGGCCCTTTCTTCGTCGCCAAAACAAATCATCGGCATGAGCATCGGCATCGTCATCATCGTCATCGTCCGTACCGCTAGCAAAACCACCACCATCGTCATCATCATCATCATCATCATCATCATCATCATCATCATCATCATCATCATCATCATCATCATCATCATCATCATCATCATCATCATCATCATCATCATCATCATCATCATCATCATCATCATCATCATCATCATCATCATCATCATCATCATCATCATCATCATCATCATCATCATCATCATCATCATCATCATCATCATCATCATCATCATCATCATCATCATCATCATCATCATCATCATCATCATCATCATCATCATCATCATCATCATCATCATCCTCATCCTCATCCTCATCCTCATCCTCATCAACAACAACATCATCAACATGATCATCCGTGTTGTCGTCATCATCATCAGAAGCAGCACCCTCATCCTCAGCAACATCAGCTTCAGCATCTTCATAGTAGTCATCAACATCATTATCATCACCAGCATTATCATCATCAGCATTATCATCATCATCATCATCATCATCATCATCATCATCACCAGTATCATCATCATCATCATCATCACCATCATCATCATCATCATCATCATCGTCATCATCATCAGCGTCATCAACATCATCATCGTCATCACCAACATAATCATCATCAGCAACACCATCATCTTCAGCATCACCATGGCCATCACCATGGCCATCACTGTCATCGTCACCATCACCATGACCATCACCGTCATCCGAGGAAATAATGTACCTTCCGTCGCCACCGCCATCATGGCCAACGTAATCATCATGGTATCATCATCCCCATGCTCTTCATGGATTTAGTTTCATCAGCATCGTCATCATCAGCCTCTCCCGCCTCATCATTGTTGTGTTCTCCTGCGCACTCGCAATGGACTTCGTATGCCCATTCGCCACCATCCCCTTCCTCCCATTACCCAGCCTGCTAATCATAGTCATTTCCATCCTCTTCGCGCTCCTCCTCATCATCCGCTTCTCCTGGTCACCATCATCCTGGTCCACTTCCTCGTCCTACTCCTCGTGCACGTCCTGGACCTCATTCTCATGCTTCTTCCTGTCCCCCCACGCACCTGCACACCGACCACCCGTCCTCCGCCGTGCCCCCTCGTCCTGCTCCTGCTCTTGCTCGCTCCGCCTCCTACGCCACCTCCGCCCATCTCGGCCCATCGCCTGGTTCAGCACGCCGTTCATCTTCGTCCCCGTGAAGTGGTCCCTGATCTCCCGCTGCCGCGCCGCCCTGCAGTGGGGACCCGGCCCGGGGGGGGGGCGGGAGGCGGCTGCTGCGTCCGGCGGACTGGGGTCAGGGAGGGGGCGCGCCGGGAGAGGGCGAGGACAGGGGGCAGGAGGAGAGCTACAGTCAACCCGTATGATAAGGACGCACGACAAGGATGCAAGGGCCTTGGAAAGCCATGTCGACACTCTGCGAGCGGGGCGCGGCCAGCGAAAGCAGCCAAGGATTGGCCGACGGGGCAGAGCTTCAAGGGTAGCCTTGGAAAGTCGCTCATCCTTACTATGCGGGTTGAGTGTATGCACAGACACCGATCCTGATCACACCAATCCTTGGCTGAGGGTGGGTCTGGCCAGGATCGGCGTATGTGTTTTTTGCTTGTGATTTTCCTCACCCGGAAGGAGGCGGGGAGGACCGCTAAACGTTCTGGTCAGCGCTCGGCCGCGTGGGTCGCGAGTAGAAGCATTGTTGCGCACACAAGGCTCCAAACCAGGACCAGGTTGGGCTCAGGTTTTCAGCACCAGAGGGTCAGGTTGGATTGGGAAGCGGCTGGAAACTACAATCTCGACGTAAGGCAGCCTCGTGGCAAGGCAAAAATATTCACTCGGACGTGTTCACACCCCGTGTAGCACGTGCACCATACGTACGGCCTCAGATGCAGGCTGCTTCAGGCTCGTTGCGCATGCATGAGGATGGCGTGTCATTGGCATTGACCTGTGTCCGAGGAGGAAGGAGGGAGGAGGGGAAAGAGGTCGATGTGGTTTGGTGATTGTGGACCTGTGATGACTTCCACTCACCCTCCTTCCTGACCCTTCCTCCTCCGCCTCCACTGCATCCCTACTCCTCTTCCTCCTCCTCCAGAAGGCCCTGTGAAGAAACGGACTACATCTTTCCGAAACGCGGGCGGGGCCTAGTCCCGAGATGCTTCCCTACGTCGCCATCCTCATCGTCCCGCCTCCTCGGCCTTATGCCACCTCTATTCCATTTCCGCCACCGTGCCTGCAGGATGAGGGTGTGTTTACCACCCCAACCCAACCCGAGGATCCAAATTTCGGGTTGGGGCGGGGTACGGGTTGGGGGTGGTACGACTCCCGTACATGTACGGGGGTACGGGTACGGGTTCAATGCTCCCCGACGCCCACTCCCCCTAAAGAATAAATTGGGGCCTTCGGGTTGGGTTGGGTTGGCTTGGTGGATGGTGAGAGTTAGAGTGCATGGTGAGAGTTAGAGTGCCAGGTCGCCCCCCCCCCCGCCCCAGTGTGCTGCGGGCCCCCCCGTCCCGAGGCCACGATCCCTCGTATAAAAGTCTGTGGATCCGCACTGCCGATGCCACGCTCCCTCTCCTTAACAAGAAGTGGTCCGCGTCCCGAGCTTCCTTCCGGGACTGCCCGTGCAGGCAACCAAGGACACGAAGGCGGCCCAAGATGCCTCCAAGACGGGCCAGGATGGCCCCAGGGCGGCCGAATATGGCCTTAAGACGCCCCGAGATGCATCCAAGAGATCCCAAAAAGGCCACAAGAGGACCTCCAACGCCAGAATCAGCGATTCGCCGTTGGTCGTCGCATGATTCTCGCGTTATCGCCTTTTCGGGCTTCCGTCAGCAGCTCAGACAGCCCAAGAAGCCTCCACGATGGCCCCAAGACGGGCCAAGACGCCTCCACGAGGGTCCAGAGATGGCCCAAGAGAACCCCACGATGGCCCAAGAAGCATCCAAGACGGCTTCAAGACGGATCAACCACGAAGACTGCCCCACAGGAGGCCAAGACAACCCAAAGACTGCCCAGACGAGTGCCATGAGGGGCCGTCCATTCGAGAAGACTAACGGTGTCGCATGTAACGGCCGTTCTCTTCGTCATCCTGCTCCTCCTCCTTCTCCTCCTCGTCATCGCCATCGTCCTCGTCATCATCATTGTCATCGGCATCGGCGTTGTCATCGGCATCTGCATCTTCATCAACATCGGAATCATCGTCATCATCGGAGTCACCATCGTCGTCATCACCACCACCACCATCATCATTATCATCATCATCATCATCATCATCATCATCATCATCATCATCAGCAGCAGCAGCAGCATCATCAGCATCAGCATCAGCATCAGCATCATCAGCAGCATCAGCTTCATCCTCCTCTTCATCAAAATCCGCATCACTAGCAGCATCAGCATCAGCATCAGCATCATCGTCGTCGATATCGCCATCATCAGCATCCTCACGACCATCATCATTATCATCATCATTGGTGTCATCGTCGCCATCATCGTGGCAATAATCATAATACGTGCCACCATCATCATCATCATCATCATCATGATCATCATCATAATCAGCATCATCATCATCATCATCATCATCAGCATCATCATCATCAGCAGCAGCAGGGTCATCAAAATCAGCATCAGCATCATCATCATCAGCATCATCATCATCGCCATCGTCATCAGCATCATCATCATCATCATCAGCAGCATCGACATCGTCGGCATCATCAGCAACATCATCACCCTCGTTCTCATGCTCTTAATCGTAGTAACAGCTATCATCGCCATCGTCAGCATCATCACCAGCATCATCATCAGCAGCATCACCATTGCCTTCTTCATCCTCAACATAATTATCATCAGCATTCGCATCATCCAAATCATCATCATAATCATCATCTTCATAATAATCATGACAGTTACATGATGATCATGATCATCATCACCATCATCAACAACATAATCATCATGATAATCATCATCCGCATCATCACCATCGTCATCAACCTCAACATCATTATCAGCATTATCATCGTCAGCGTCACGGTCATCATCATCATCATCAGCATCAGCATCATCATCATCATCACCATCATCATCATCAAAATCATCATAATCGCCATCATCATCATCATCATCATCATCATCATCATCATCATCATCATCATCATCATCATCATCGTCAACATCATCATCAGTATCATCATTCTTAGGATCATCATCGTCATCATCACTACTACCACCGCCACCATCGTTATCATCACCATCAGAATCATCAGCAGCAGCATCATTCAAATCATCGTCGTCGTCGCCGCCATCTGGACCCGCATCATGATTATCAGCATCATCAACATCACCATCGTCATCATCATCATCCTCATCCTCGTCCTCAGCATCATCAATACCACCACCACCAGCACCATCAGAATCATCATCATCAGCATCATCATCGTAATCGTCATCATCATCGTCAACATCATCTTCATCATCGCTTTCAACACCATCATCATCACGGCTCCCCCCAAACCTAGAATCACAAGGTGTTACACATGACGGCATCCGGTGCTCGCTTGAGCCGTCGCCACCCAGAATGTTGGGCTGGCTTCTCGGCGGGACTTGCCGCAGGCAACTGGATAGTCAGATGACTCCTCCCTATCGCATTGCCAGACGTGTTGGTAGGGCGGGCTGGGCGTTTCGCCTGATACAACTCTCACCATCTACGATTTTGAAGCTTGAATCTTCCAACAACTACAAGGATGGATGGCGAACCGTGTTAAAAATGAGGCTCTCGCCTTGGCGCCACGCACACAAGGCTAGAACGAAAACACGTTACACGGATCGAGGGCGGTTTCGTTTCAAAATGGGACGTTTGCTTGAGACGCCCATTAGCCGTTTTCAAAGTGTAGCATCACAAGCATAACATGACGCAATC